ATGTGGTGTTTAGGAGGTCTTGGGAGTGGGGGGGGGAGGGGGGTGTTGGTGGAGGATGCAGCGGTTTGTCTGTCTACCACTATTTTCTCTCTGTCTCTGTCTGTCTGTCTCTCTCTTTCTCTTTCTCTCTCTCTCTCTCTCTCTCTCTCTCTCTCTCTCTCTTTCTCCTCCTTCTCTCTCAATCTCTCTCTCTCTCTCTCTTTTTATTTTTTTTCTTTGTTAACTATGTATTCTCGTTTTTTTTTCAGTTTTAGGTAATTTCCCCAATTTCGGTTCTATTTTTGTTTTCTACTTTACATCTTTCTTGTCTCTTTTACTCTCTTCCCCTTTTTGTGTGTATTTTTTTCTCCATTTCTTATGTTCCTTACCTACCATTATCTCATCTCCTCCTTTCATTATCTTTCCTATGATTTTATTCACTTTTTCCCCATCATTTTCATTCCCCTTTTCTTTTCCACTATTTTTTTCACTTCGCTTTTTCTCCTTTTCTCGTTATTTTTATTCTTCGTATCTTTTTCTTAAGGTTTTTCAAGTGTCGCGAATTACAGAGGATTTGAATATTCGCGCGACCACTCTGAGGATGCAATAAAGCGGTGTTTGTTATAGAGCGGTGGGCGTTATAAAGCGGTGTGCGTTATAAAGCGGTGGGCGTTATAGAGCGGTGGGCGTTATAGAGCGGTGTGCGTTATAGAGCGGTGTGCGTTATAAAGGAGTGACCTCTCATTATGGTTATTCTTTTCTGTGTGTTTGTATGTGTGTGTGTGTGTTCGTGTGTGTGTGTGTGTGTTTGTGTGTGTGTTTGTGTGTGTGTGTGTGTGTGTGTGTATGTGTGTGTGTGTGTGTGTGTGTGTGTATGTGTGTGTGTGTGTGTGTGTGTGTGTATGTGTGTGTGTGTGTGTGTGTGTGTGTGCGTGTTCGTGTTCGTGTGTGTGTGTGTGTGTGTGTGTGTGCGTGTGTGTGTGCTTGTGTGTGTGTGTGTGTGTGTGTGTGTATATGTGTGTGTGTGTGTGTGTGTTTGTGTGTGTGTTTGTGTGTGTGTGTGTGTGTGTGTGTATGTGTGTGTGTGTGTGTGTGTGTGTGTATATGTGTGTGTGTGTGTGTGTGTTTGTGTGTGTGTGTGTGTGTGTGTGTATGTGTGTGTGTGTGTGTGTGTGTGTGTATATGTGTGTGTGTGTGTGTGTGTTTGTGTGTGTGTTTGTGTGTGTGTGTGTGTGTGTGTGTGTGCGCGTGTGTGTGTGTGTGTGTGTGTGTGTGCGTGTGTGTGTGCTTGTGTGTGTGTGTGTGTGTGTGTGTGTTCGTGTGTGTGTGTGCGTGTGCGTGTGCGTGTGTGCGTTCGTCCCCTCATGTCTGCATTTCTCCCATTGCATCATCGTTTGTGTTGTTATCAAATTAATTATCTTTTTCATTATTCGGTTCCATAAAGAATAAAAAGTAATTAACAAATAAAAGTAAGAGAAAGACAGAAACACAGAAAGGAGAATAAAAGGGGAATAAAGGGAATAAAATGGAAAAAATATAGATAATAATATACAGAACCGTATCGTGCAAGAAAGCAAACATAAATAAATAGATGAATGAAAAAAATAAAAGAAAGAAAAGGAGAAATAAACAATAATAATCAAGAGAGCATCGCGCAATGACCAAACGAAAAGAGGAATGACGTAGAAAATAATAGGAAAGAAAAGAAAGTCGTGACTAACGAAAAATAACGAAAAAAACGGAAAGAAAAAGAATAGGAAAGAAAGGAAAGTAATGACGAACGAAAAATAACGCAACATAAAGGGAAAGAAATAAACAAACAATAAACAAAACGCAAATAAATAATAAAAAAATAAACAAAACGCTAAGAAATTTTACAAAAAATAAACAACACAAAGAAATAAACAAATAAACAAACCACAACTCGAAGAAATAAACAAAAAATAAACAAAACACAAAGAAATAAACAAACAAACCACAACTCAAATAAATAAACAAAAACCAAACAAAACACAACTTCAAGAAATAAACAAAACAGAAAACAACGCGATGGTCAAACGCCAAACAGCCGATTAAACAGGAAATGCTCAACCCTTTCTCTCCCGCCGCCACCCAACGCGATCTGCGGAAAAGCACACACGCAGAACAGCTGATAAAAGCACACACGCAGAACAGCTGATAAAAACACGCAGAACAGCTGATACAGAGCTTCCGTTGTTGCTCTGGCCGAGATTGGCTTTGAGAATCTGTGTGTGTGTGTGTGTGTGTGTGTGTGTGTGTGTGNCCACACAACTCACACAACGAAACACTTCACACCACACATACACATCACAACACATCACACAACACCACACACACCACACAACACACACACACAACACACACACACACCACACACACACACACACACACTAACACCAAACACAAACACCACACACACACACACACACAAACACACACAAACACCACACACCACACACACACACCACACGACACACACCACACACCACAACACAAACACACACAAAACCACACAAACAACAACACACACACAAACACAACACAACACACACACACACCATCGAAAAACCAATGCTTCCCAGTTCCCAAAACATCCTGTAGCAGATTCAAGAAGCAATGTATACAAAGGATGTTTAGTATTAAGCCAATCCCAAGCAGACGAAACAGCAGTGGGAGCAGATCCCTTCCCATTATCCAGAGACTAGCCATTACTCTGCTAGCCTCATCACCGAGTTATTTGGGGATACTGGGCCTGACATAGCTAGCCTCTCCTATTCCTTGGTCTGTCGTAAAAGGGGTTTGCTTCTTGGGCTTATGCTCTTTTTCTTTGTGTTTGTTTTTTTTCGGGTTGTCTGTCTGTGTGTGTCTGTTTCTTGGTTTATGGATGGTTGGTTGTATGTCTCTGTCTGTTTCTCTGTCTCTCTGTCGTTTTCTCTGTCTATCTCTGTCTCTCCCGTCTCTGTCTGTCTCTGTCTCTGTCTGTCTGTCTGTCTGTCTCTGTCCTGTCTTCTCTCTCTCTCTCTCTCTCTCTCTCTCTCTCTCTCTCCTCTCTCTCTCTCTCTCTCTCTTCTCTCTCTCTCTCTCTCCTCCTCTCTCTCTTATCTCTCCTCTCTCTCTCTCTCTCTCTCTCTATCTCTCTCTCTTCTCTCTCTCTCCTCTTCCTTTTCCCTTCTCTCCTCTCTCCCTCTCCCCTCCCCCTCTCTCCCTCCTCCCTCCCCTCCCCTCTCCCTCCCCTTTCTCCCTCTCCTCCCCCTCCCCCATTCTTCCAACCCCCCTACCCCCCAGCCCCCTCTCCCCGCCCATCCCCCTCACTCCCTGTCTCCCCGACCGCCCATCC